TCCTTGTGGGGCCCGTCCATTGACTTCCATTAATTTTTTGGTAATCTTACATCCTAACCCTGACCACAAACCCAAAGGCTAACCCTAAAACTAATTTAAACTTAATTCAAACCTTGGTCCTAAACCCAACCCCCACACCCAAAATCAGCCTCTGAAGTTGTGGGGCCCACAAGGAGCACCCGGACCCCACGAGGCTGCATTTTCCTTAAAACTGGGTCCCACGATGTAGGAAAAACAAGGACACACACACACACAGAAACTGTAGCACACACGCTTTAACATACCAGTGCTTGTGCCAACCCAAACTCACACTCTGCCACCCACCATCATAACACACACATGCACACAGTTGTCTTCAGGACTCAACACATTACACTTTAAATCTACACTTCCCAAACACACACACACACACACACACACACACACACACCTTCCTCCCTATTCATCACATGGGAAAAATAAATAAATAAATCCACTCAGGGTGTGTTTGCATGATGGCGTGTCTGCATCCAAGTGTGAGCCGGCTTTGTGAATGTTGTTCCACACCTTGCGTACAATTCCAGTACAAACATAACCCTCCTACATTCTACACAACAGACACGTATTAAGCGTTGTTTCTGCTCCCGAAGTCACGCAGAAGGCAGTGTGAAATCACAAGCGGCTCCATCGCCAAGAGAAGCTCTCTTCTCCGTGTTCAGTGCTTCCTCCTCTTGTTTCCTGCATTTTTTTTTTGCATCTTTCCATCCCTTTCTTGCTCGCTCTCCTCCTCTCTCTGCCTGGCTAAACTAATAAGGGTGTGATTAATGGTCTGCTAATTGCTGTAATCTCAGTTAATTAGAGTGGAGATTCTTCAGAGGTGGAGTGCTTCGGGAGAGATGCATGTTGCACCGATCAGGAGGTAGAGGACTGGCAACGCTCCACGTACACAGACAGACAAAGCGATTCGGTCGAAGGCACAGCAAATACTGGAGCATACTACAGCAGTRCTGTCGCACTTTGAAGGCTTTCGTACTCGTAGTGCATGTGCACAAAAATGATGTGTTTTTTAAGCGACTGTGTCAGCGTTAAGAGGTGTTGCACATCAGACGTTCAGGCAAAAGACATGAGCAGAGAGGACAAAGAAAAATATGCTGAGATAAACCTTTGCAATAATTTATTCAATCCATTATCAAAATTTTTAAAATGCAGTTTCTGGTTTAGTCAGCTTTCAGATTCATTGACTTTGTCTCTCCATGCTTCCAGCACTGTAAATGATGGAAGGGGCCACTTTTTTTTGACACTGCAGAGTGCCACATATCCAAATGCTAGAAAACTATTTAAAAATATTTCTTTACACATATGTATTGATTTAACATTTATTAAAGTAACATGCAGTGCAGTAACGTAACATATGTCATGTTCAAATGCATGTATAACTCTTGTTTAGTAAATATAAAAACAAAAAGTTTGAAAAAAGCACAAAAAACACTTTCTTTAGCAAACAAAGTGCATAAAGAAGGCATAAAACACCATGAGGTCAGACTCCTGCATGGTTGTGTTCCTGGTAAAAAGTCTGTGTTGTTTATGTTTGTGACTTCAGTAAACATGTCAAACTTTGCTTTGTCGTAGCGGCGACTTATATTGACATCCCTCATGGCAGACAGTGTCCTCATTACTGGCTGACAGAAGTCACCCATGGACCAAATTTGGCCTGTGGGCCACTAGTTGCCCATCTCTAATTAACATGTTTTAATTAGCGTAGTCAACTCGAGACKTTAGAACAAACTGTGTCTTTTAAGGGCAACACATCAGTGTGGTGGTTGAAGYTGTCACCTCACAGCCAAATTGTTGCAGGTTCACCTTCCAACCTTTCTGTGTGCAGTTTGCACGTTCTCCCCATGCACACGAGGCCTCTCTCCGGGTATTGCATGTTTTCTCCTCCAAAATGAAAATATGCATGCCAGGTTAATTTGTAATGTTAAATTCTCCCTAGGTGCGGGCGAGAGTGTGAATAATTGTTTGTTTTGTTTGTCTCATTTGTCTCTGAGATGGACTTGGGACCTGTCCTGGTGAACTCCGCCCCTCACATAATGACCGCTGCAGATAAAGACCAGCTCCCACAGACCTGTAAAGGAAGAGTTGATGGATGGACGGACGGACGGCTGAACGGACGGACCGACTGACTTTGAGTGATTGTCACAGTACACACATCTAAATGAACTTAAAGATCGTTCTGCTCTGAGTGAAAAATAACCCATTTGTGATGAATATTAATTGTATATTCCAATTGTTTACAATTATTATTATTGCTGCTAGAGAAATAGTCTGCATKTTTAAGCGGGATTCTGTAGAAACCTTATTGTTACAACTCATTTTGTAATCTCACACTATTCAAAGTTTGCATTAGTTTTAAATGACTTTTGACAACAAAAAGCAGACAAGACATAATTTACTAAGACTGAACAAAAGTGAAGTATTATTTTGTGTATGTTTATGTAAAATTATTCCATTTTTTTCCAGGCTTTATAATGGATCTTCACTCAAAAAATAGATGTAGTGGATCTAGATAATAAAAAAACATGTTAACTGTTTCCACTTGACTGAATTGAGTAAACATAACATATACGTATAAAGTTTACTTTATTTCAAGTTTACGTTAAGTAAATGTAAGGTAAATGCAAAGTAAATGTGTTACCTTTAYYTAACTCACWTGAGYGGAAACAGTTGACATAGTTTTTAAGTAAATTCAGCAAGAGATCATTGTTATTATTTCTTCTTGAGTGATGATAAAGTGCTTTATGTGAATTTTTGAGCAACTTTTCACTGTTTTTTCTTTATAGAGAAAATATTTTTCAATCAAACCTCCTGCCACCTCAAAATAAGCAAATCTAACTCAATATTTCTTCTTTTCTGGGTCTTCAAATATGAGCCGATACGTTTGTCAGCTAAATATGAAAATTGTTATACACATTTTTCTTGATATAATTTTAAATGGCTGAATTCCCACCCACTGGATATTTAACAATGTCTTGATGAATGTATTCAATCATTTATTTAAGCTTTACAATAAARTAAACATAAAAACAGAAGTATTTTTGTTTGTTTCGCTTTTTTTTCTCAAACTCCTAAAATCCACTGAAAACAAGTCAGTAAACCACTATTGAGTTGTGACCCATGAGTTAAGAATTACTGTGGTACAGTGTTCCTCAACAAAAACTGGCCTGTGCTCCTGTAGACATTATGGTGGTTATGCTAATAATTTTATGTAGTCAATGAGAAAAATACCCTGTTTATTTGATCAACGTTTAGAAATGTGCCTTTTTGTCTTTCAGAAAATGCAAAAAGGAATAAAAATCTGGAAACACTGTGGTTTACTATACCATAGTACAAAARTCATGTTTCATACTTCTCTGGAATGCATGAGAAACCTATATAAGACTCTTTCTCAKTTCAGGCGGACTGATGAACTGACGGAGTGGGACCAGGACCACTGTGGATTGCTGTTGTCTTAAAGCTTACTTTGAAAGATTTAAGTATATAAAATAAAGCTTATAACTCGTCTTTTCTTCATTTGTCTTACATGTGTGAACATATAGTGGCAGTTTGCTGCATTTTGACATTTTCTTTTTTTTTCTGAAGTAAAATCTTTGACCCATATAAAGTCACCGGCTCCAGAGTCTGGTGTGTTTTTCTGGGTGTTTTGACCAGGAAGGTGTGAAGACTGGAGCCTCAGGGCCCGGGATGTACGTCCATCCAGTGTCACACATACACACAACCGCTAACACACAGATTCTCACTTGCACACAGACACAAATACATACACGCTCTGATAAGC